CTGTAGCTCTGTGCTAACACACCTGTAGCTCTGTGCTAACACACCTGTAGCTCTGTGCTAACACACCTGTAGCTCTGTGCTAACACACCTGTAGCAGTAGCAGCTGTTAGTGGAGTTAATTAAAATATTTTAGATGTTTCGTGCGTTTCAAACCACTCGATGCTGACAGGTGAGCAGTAGATTTCTACCTGCGGTTGTGTTCTTTGTGTCTGCAGCTTGTTCTGAAGTTTCTCCTGATGCAGAGAACAGAACCTGAGATCAGAAACCAGTCTGGTTCTGACAGAGTCGYGTCACTGTGTAAAATTATGAGCACAGATGAAAATGTTTTATTGTTAGGTCTAACATTCAGTTGTTGTTAAGTTTCACAGGTGTGTCGCTGCTTTAAATCTTAAAGTACATTTGTTTCTTAAGTTTGAACATTTGAAACATTTATTATGTTTCATTGTGAATAAAATGAGTTTTGTAAATGATTGAATTCATTTTTTATTTACACACAACCAGACTTTGTCAGAACTGAGGTTTTATTTATTAATAAARTAACCAACCAAACATTATTTAAAGATAAAGTTCTATTATTGTGTTTTATATTGTGATCCTCGTATTGATAATATTTTATCAAATAAAACTGTAGATTAGGATGTTTTTAGTCATCTTCTGTCAAAGTAAACAAAAACAAAAACACGTTTAGTTTCATTCATGCTACAGACAACTAAAAAATGTGATTTTATTTATTTTTGTGTTGAGGTTTAAATGTTAGCTGAAAACTGATGATGTTAAAACACCTGTGGGCTCAGGTGAAGCATCAGCCAATCAGAGACAGGCTCAGTTACCTCTCCTCTGTTTCCTGTCAGAACCTCTCTTCTCACCTGGAGCCACAGACAGAACCTAATTAAACTAATTAACATGCAGGTAAAGGTTCATCTGAGCTGTTTTTACAAAACATTAATTAAATAAAGTTTGAGTAAAAATCTGTTTRAAAGAGTTTTTATTCAGTCAGACATCAGAACCAGAACCTGCCCAGAACTTAAAGCAGTCCTTCAACAGCTCCTGAACAGAACACAGTCCGACCTCCAGCCACAGTCTGGTTCTGACTGATGGGACCACCTGTCCTCTGTCCTACTGATTCTGGAGGTCCAGTATGACCCCTTTGACCTCCCCCTCCTCTGAGGAGGTCCTGTCCTCCTCCTCCGGGCCTGGCTCTCCAGGTGGAGACACTACATCATACAGGAAGGTGAAGAAGCCATAGATCCAATCAGACCCCTCCTCTGCTAAAATATTAAGAACCTCCTCAAGCGACTCGGCGTTCGCCTTACCGCCGCCATCTTTGGTCAGGCCTGACGGGAGAGAGAGGAAGAGGAGGGGAGGTGGTTCAGGAGGAAACGATGAAGAATCAGAAACAAGGAGGAAGACAAACGATGAAGAATGGAGCGGGTCGCAACAGAACCAGGACAAAAATTAAAAAAAAAAAAAGGATGGAGGAGAGGAGAAGAAAGGCAAAGAGTTAAAGATGAGCCTGAAACATTAAAACTACAGTTTCTCTTCGTCTCCAACTCGTCAGAACCAGAACCAGAAGGCTACTGACATCTACTTCCTGTCATCTTCATCACCTGATTCTGCCTGATGAAATTATGTGTTTTAATCTGAAAGGTATAAAAAATAAATCAGGTTTTTCAACTTTTATAAATAAATCTGTAACAGAACTTATTTATCCTRARTTATCCCCKTCCGCAAAATCGCCACCTTAACGTGGTGGAGGGGTTTGTGCACCCCCGTGATCCCGGGGGTTTATGTTGTCTGGGGCACTAGCCTCTGGTAGGGTCTCGCATGACAAACAGGCCTTGGGGGAGGGGTCAGACAAAGATTTAAAACCATTGATGACAAAACAACAACAACCACATCAGGAAACCTCGCCTGGAATAGGGAAACCGGGGCACCTCCCTGGAGCAAGGCCCTGGGGGGAGCTCGCCGGCGAGCGCCTGGTGGTCGAGCCTTGGCTCCTGGGGCTCGGCCGGGCGAAGCCCGAAAGGACTATAGGAGGCCACCTCCACGTGGACCCACCACCTGCAGTGAGGACCATCAAGGTTGGGTGCGATGTATGCTGGGCAGCAGGTGAAGGAGGGTCCCTGGACATGCTGATCCCTGGTGGTAAAGACTGGCTCTAGGGACATGGAACGTAACCTCACTCACAGGTAAGGAGCCAGAGCTTGTGGGTGAGGTTGAGTGTTACCAGCTAGATATAGTTGGGCTCACCTCCACTCACGGCCTGGGCTCTGGAACCCAACTCCTGGAGAAGAGCTGGACTCTCTCCTACTCTGGAGTTGCCCAGGGAGAGAAGCAACGGGCGGGCGTGGAGATACCCACAAGCCCCCGTCTGTGTGCCTCAGTGTTGGAGTTCACTCCGGTGGATGAGAGGGTTGTCTCTACGTGGCTTCACGTTGCAGGAGGGAAGGTTCTGATTGATGTTTGTACTTATGCACCAAACATCAGTTCAGATTACCCGGCCTTTTTGGAGTCCTTGGATGGTGTCCTGGAAGGGGTGCCGTCTGGTGACTCCCTAGTTTTGCTGAGTGACTTCAATGCCCATGTGGGCAAAGACGGAGTTATCTGGAAGGGGGTGATTGGGAGGAACGGCCTCCCCGATCTGAACCTGAATGGTGTTCTGTGTTTGGACTTCTGTTCTAAGCACGGGTTGGCCATAACGAACACCATGTTTGAGCATAGGGTGGACCATAAGTGTACTTGGTACCAGGCCACCTTAGGCCAAAGGTCGATGATTGATTCTGTAATCGTGTCATCGGATCTGCGGCCCTATGTTTTGGACACTCTGGTGAAGAGAGGGCAGAGCTGTCAACTGATCACCACCTGGTGATGAGTTGGATCCGGTGCCCTACAGATCTGGTAAACCCAAACGTATAGTGAGGGTGAACTGGGAACATTTGGGGGAGTCCCCTGTCCGTGTGATCTTCAACTCACACCTCTGGGAGAGTTTTTCAGGTGGTCGGGGACATGGAATCTGAATGGGCCATTATCAGGGCCTCCATTGCAAATGCAGCTTCCAGGAGCTGTGGCCTGAAGGTCATCTGTGCCTGTCGCGGCGGCAACCAAAGGACCCGCTGATGGACACCGGCGGTGATAGAGGCCATCAGGCTGAAGAAGGAGCCCTTCCGGACTTGGCGGACCTCAGACTGGACCTGGTGGACCGCAGACTGGACCTGGTGAACCTCAAACTGGTCCTAGTAGACCTCAGACTGGACCTAGTAGACCTCAGACTGGACCTAGTAGACCTCAGACTGGACCTAGTAGACCTCAGACTGGTCCTGGTAGACCTCAGACTGGTCCTGGTAGACCTCAGACTGGTCCTGGTAGACCTCAGACTGGTCCTGGTGAACCTCAGACTGGTTCTAGTAGACCTCAGACTGGTCCTAGTGGACCTCAGACTGGTCCTGGTAGACCTCAGACTGGTCCTAATAGACCTCAGACTGGTCCTGGTGGAACTCAGACTGGACCTGGTGAACCTCAGACTAGTCCTAGTAGACCTCAGACTGGTCCTAGTAGACCTCAGACTGGTCCTAGTAGACCTCAGGTTGGTCCTAGCAGACCTCAGGTTGGTCCTGGTGGACCTCAGACTGGTCCAAATAGATCTCAGACTGGTCCAAATAGACCTGAGACTGGTCCTAGTAGACCTCAGACTGGTCCTGATAGACATCAGACTGATCCTGGAAGACCTCAGACTGGTCCTGGTAGACATCAGACTGGTCCTGGAAGACCTCAGACTGGTCCTGGAAGACCTCAGACTGGTCCTAGTAGACCTCAGACGGGTCCTATTAACCTTAGACTGGACCTAGTAGACCTCAGACTGGACCTGGTGGACCTCAGACTGGACCTGGTGATCCTGATGGATCTCAGACTGGTCCTGGTGGAGCTCAGACAAGATAATCAAACT